AGTTTCCCTATTAATTTTTCTCTCCCTCCTCCTTGTGAGCTATTGGAAGTTTGCCATATCTTGCATTGAATTAAGGATAGAATTACTTGGGAATATTTGCAGCCTTTAAATACGCATGCCCTCTAGATAATTTGTGCTTCAAGGCTGTGGGGTTGTATTCAGGCCAGGGTTTAAGAAAAGAAATCCAACATCTTAACAATAGAAATCCAGCCAGAGAAATTCCCTAATGTCCTCTTAGTGAATAGGACTAAAGAAACATGCATGGAACTTATGTTAAACTAGGCCTTTGTTTGATCTTAAGTAATCACCATTTTTATCTTCAAAGGACTAAGTTCTGGCTTCAGGTTTCACAGCTGACAAAGCTAGCCAGAGTTCATAGAGCTGCCAAAGTCAAGAGAATGGGTTATTCTTCTCTCCTAGTGTATTGTGCCCTTAAAAGCTTATTTACTATGATCAAGGAAAACTCCCTTTGGAGTTGCAGAGCATATACCAAGGTTAGAGAGAACAAGAGAGGAAAAAAATAGAAAAAACAGATTGCACCTGAAGCCTATGAGTATCGCACCGCTCGCAGATACCGAATTTGAAGATGCTGATGTGTGCCAAAATACCTTACAAACACCTTTGATATTCTTCTCCTGGCTGCACAGAGGCTTGTGGGTGTCCTGAGTCTGAGGGGGTTGGAAGGAAGGAGGCAAAAGTTCTTGAGCGTTATTTTAAATTTAGAAAGCCAGATGACTTCCAGTAGCAGCTCTTTTAACCAGGAGCACAGCCAACTCCGTCACTCTTCTTTAGGGCTAGAAAATTGGGTCTATTTCTTAGCTCCAGCCAGAACAGCATTGTTTAACCTGAGTTTCTTAAAGTCAGATGTGGAAAACAAGGCTGAAAAATGCAGTAAAGGAAAGATTTGTATGATGGGGTCAGGAAGCACGGCAGCCTGAGTCCTGGGACATGTATTAGGTCATAAGCTAGCATAACTCCTCTTGTGTTGGGGAGCATTGCCACCTCTCGGATGCTCTGTGGAACCTGGCCACCAAAAGACGATATGTTCTTAGTTTAGTGACAGCAGCAGAGCAGAGAATTCGTCCTTAAAATAGCAAGAATGAGAAGTCAGAAGGGATAGCACAACTGAAGGAATGGCACAATTGCACCTCTCTTTCCATCTCAATTATTAAGTTTTCTACCATGATATATAGACACTAAAATGGTTGTCTGTTGTGTGAAGCATAGGAAGAAAAGGGAAAGGGACGTGTGCTGAACCAGGGTCAAGGTGCATCTAACACAATATCATGTCTTTAGTAGTAGCTGGGAACCAATTCCTAGAGAAGAGTAAGAATATGGCAAGTGTAGTCAATGTCTCTGCTGGTTACCGACTGCTCCAGGACTCCCTGAATCCAATGTGATTTCTTTTGGGTTTCTCCTCCGTGGACCCCATAAAGGCATGCAAATCTTCAGCAGCTGCAACCTCATTAGGCAAGGAGGTCCACAGATTTTTACCCACTGCGTGTACCTCATACAGATGTAATGGATAATCAGGATGAACACAACAGTGGGTTTACTGTAATTCTTTGTGTGGGCAGAGAAGGTTCTTGTCAAGTGAAACAGGCCAGAGAGATGCCAGTAGTGCAGAAAGGGAGCACAGAGCGCATCGTGGCTGAGACGCAAAGACTATAGAGGAGAGAGGGTGGTGTGTGTGTCCAGATGCGTATGTATAAGAGCCAGTGAGCACAGAGGAGAGAATACAAGTTTTGGGCTGAATCATTGTGGAATGTGGCTATCAGAGATGAAGAAATTTGCTTAAAAAGCCATGCTAGGTAATGGGAAAGGAAACTCTCAGAGACAATGGAGCCAGGGAAAGTAAATTATTTGGCAGTTAGCACTAGAACATCTCTCAAATGGTGTTTGAAACCATCAAGAGTTGCAATTGCCTCATAGCATAGTAAGGCATTTTCATTGCTGATGCTTTAATCAGTCCTGCATACTTCTGTACTCCTTCTGTACTTGATAGGCAGATGCTGGCTATGGACACATGAGATTATCTAATGGAAATGATCATGGATACAGCAATTATCTAAGGAGGAAGAAAGGAAAAAGAATAGAAATATTAGCTTGAAGGAAGTAAAAGGGGAAGCTGTACGCAAGCCCAAAGGCAAACATATGTATGTGCATGCAGACACATGCTCTGTGCTTTCTGTTTCTAGAATGGGACTTCGTTTCTCAGAAATAGTCACAGTAATTAATATCTATATGTTTGCAGAACAAGTGTTCATAATAATGCTTTATGCAAAAAAAAAATTGAGGCCTCTGATCAGAATTATTTGTCCCAAGATGTAGAGTTTTCAGACTAGCTTCCTGCTCTCAGTCAATTAAGGCCTGAGGCTGTGAATGTATATGCGCAAGCGAGTGTGTGCAGGAAGTGGTTACGTGGAATTCACTGAGATTAATAATGGGTAAAGCATTAACTCCCGCTTGACATGCTTGCTGGGACACAGTGCAAATACTGATGTAAGACTCTAGATCAAAATCCTTCAGGAATGAAGGTATTCAGTCATAAAATTGATCTAAAACTCCATGATGGGAGCATCTTCTTTCTTTAACCTGTTCAGAGTGACTGGAATTAAGCCTTAGAAATACCATCAGAGCATAACCATGCCCTGATGAACCAAGATCTCTTTTCTGAGACTACCAGAAAGAGGGTCAAGGTTTTATAATATTTTCTGTAAAAATAAGTCTTTTATAAGAAGAGGTTTTGCCCTTCCTTATAACTTCCTCTGCTAAGAGGAGATTTACTTCCATTTACCTTTTATTTGAAGCAGAAAATGATTTGACTTCAAACTGTATTTAATATTCTAGCTAGTGGTAGCAGAACTATTCACTACTTGATGTATCTGGAGATATTGTAACCAGAATTTTGTATAATGTATGCTTTTGATATATCTATCTCTCTGGCCTCCTATTACCTTATACTTCTATTTTATTTTCATTTAGCAGACTTTATTACACACAAACCTACAATATTTTCCTCACTTCAAATCAGGGTATAACTCTAAAAAAACTTCTTTAAAAAATTCTTTATCTGGAGAAAATATTCTTTAGAGTGAAAGGACGATAGTTGATTTTTTTAATGTGACCCAATAACAACATAGATAGTGTTCTGCATCACTCGGAGCTTGTTGTTAGGTAAATGATGAGAGAGGAAGATCACATACGTAAATACTTAGAAAAGGACTACTTTGTGATTATTTCTAGCTTAATGCAGCAGAAAGGAGGCTGTTTGACTGATATTCTGGTTTTGGTCTTCCAGACTGGGATGAATGCGCTTCGCAGTCTGAGAACGACTGCTCCGTGTTTGCAGAGTGCATCAATTTGATGGGCTCGTACCTGTGTCGATGCAAGACAACCATGGACACCAATCCATCCCGACCTGGAAGAAACTGTGAAGGTGAGTAAGAGACAGCTGTTTAGTTTCTGTTGCCATGAAAGGTGGGAATAAGCAGTATTTTTCCACATCTGCTTTTATTAAAAGTGTTTATATAATGCATGAAGTGCAGTCCCTGGCTGAAGACTCATGTATAATCTCTGTCCACCATGAACGTGATCCTTACATATGTCTTTGCATGTAATCTCTCAGCACTATTCTTTGATCAGCCTAAAGACCGGCTGCTGAGAAACATGAGGCACACTTTCCTTTTTCTTGGCATCTCTAGGGCTAATTTCCCTCTTCTGTAATGATCCATGCCTTACAAACCAGAAGAAGAGATACAGGAATCAAATCTTCTTTGTGTGGGCACAAACCAGACTCAGTACCATAAAAATTGCATATGCTGCAATTCATTAATAAAATATCTGAGTTCTGTTTCCGTAACACTGTTACACGTGGCGAGGTGGGCTCAGCCATTTCCTTAGGTCAGATCTGGCATGTCCTTATGTTCTCTTCTGATCTGAGATTCCATTTCACATGCATTTGTTGTGCTGCAGGTGAAATTGTGAACCCCCTTACTGAAACAACGGCCCTCGAAATAACAGGCACCACAGAGACTGCTCCTGAAGTGAGCGCTGCAGACTCTGCTTCCCTGGCCTTCACTGAGATGGAGGTGGTAGCTGCCGTAGGCTCCAGAATGAGCACTACCATCCATGTCCCTGCTGTACTGCCCCTGAGTGACAAGCAAGCACCCCACAGCCATTCTTCCACCAGTGCTCCTCCAGCCACTTGGAAAAAAGACCTGTCATCACAGATTGGCTTTGGCAGGGAAAACAGCTCCAGGGTCATGGGGGCTGCAGCCAGCGAGGAACTGGCTGTGACTACAGAGCAGCCGGAAGCTGTAAGTCTCTCACAGCGAAGCTTGGTGGGAGAGGCTTCCCCTGGTTCATTGCAACATGCAGCTGCTCTCACAAATGCACCCACGGGCATGGCTGGGCAAAAGCAACTCAGTTCGCCATTGCCAATGTTGTCAAATCAAACGGCCAATGATACTACAGGAAGACACGCAGCTTTTGGTGTGCCTGAGGTAAGCTCTCAGGATGGCCCCAGTACAACTCTGCTGGTCACAGGAGATGCTGGAGTTCTTACTCTCAATACCACTCTCAAAATTCATGTAGAGACGGAAAGAAACAACAGCTCTTCGTCTGAGAAATATTTTGGCATCCTGGGGTCGCCAGCTTTGCCAGACTCCTCTCAGGCTTCCAGCCCAACGCCAGGCTCGGCCATGGACTGCAGTGAGTATGCGTCCAGCAGGGGCCTGCACGCACGGTAATTCAACAGCCTGAGAAGCCAAACCTCACTCAAATTCCAGGAAGATGCACGTTTGTTGTAATCAGTGGTCTGGAATGAAGGCAACTGAAATTAGTTTGTCTTTGTCAAATATATTTTCTTGCAAGAATTGGCACTTTTTTCTAAATCAACGTGTTAAAATACTCTGGCTTTCTGGTAATTTGACAGTAGTTCTATTGATGTTACATTTATTCTTCTCAAAGCAGGTGAAGCGAATCACACAGTGTTCAGAGTGTGGCTCGTTGAAACATATATTACTTCTCCTTTTGCCACATATCTTGGTTTCTTCTGCGTGCTCTGTAGCAGCAGCCTACAGAGATATCTTAGAGACCTGAGAAAGCAAATGATGTGCCTTCCTATTTCCGTCAGTTAAGCATGGGTTAAACAGAATCCTTCAGATCCCCTGAGGTGCAAGAGGTGCAAGGAAATATGTGAGTCTTTTTTTGAAGACCTCTAATTGAGAATGACAAGGCTGATAGAGAGGCTTCCATCCATTTAGGTTTGAGAGGACGTATTGCAGCTACTTAGGGAATATTTCTGTTGATTGGAGCTGAATCACAATTCAAGGTTAGGGTCAGATTTGGTCTTTAAATTATAGTTGGGGTTGGGATGGGAACGTCACTATCTCTGCTCATTGCTAAATGTACTGTTTCTTTAGTGTGTTAGTAGGTGAGACCTGCTTCTATTTTGTTTCTGCTTGTCTTTATTCTTTCTCTCATGCCTTCTACATCTCTCCAAACACAAACTGCATGCTCCTGTTTCTCTGTTCTCTTCCTCTCCACTAGGATCTCCTGTTCCTGGGGTCTCCATTCGTCCAGTGCCCTTCTGGTTCTCGCTGGTTCCTTTCTCACTAAACCCCCTTTTCACCCTCCTGAGACCATCTCCGCTGCTTCTTCACCCTCTCTTGCAGTGCCATAGCCTCCATTTCTCCAGCCCTATTAGTCTCTGGGCAGCAGTGCCCAGAGATGCCTTTCTTTTTGCTTTTGTCTTCTCTTCATATCCTCTTCATATCCTTTGTACTGCCTGGCACTGGTGAGACCTGGAAACAGAGCTGGGTAAATACATTATTTGGGAGCTGCCTGGCCAAATGGAGGAAAAAAGTCAATTTGGATTGAGTAAAATATTAACCTCAAATGAAAAGCACCATTTACTGCTTTGCTTTGTACCTTCCCCTATCTTTGATATAAGAAAGAGTAAAAAAAAAGTTTTTTTCTTGTTTTTTTCCTTCAAATGAAAGCAACAAATGTTCATTTTTTTTTGAAAATGTCGAGGTAGCTCCTTCTAGCTGTCAAATATTGAAGATCCTTTTCTTCCAGCTTAAAAAACAAATTGAAGAATTCTACACAAAAACATTCATTTTATACAAATCTGCTTTCTTATCTGGATAAATCAAATATTAAGCCAAGTACATTTGTCCAGCTTTTGCTGGGAAAGAGGCCTGCAAAGGGACTATGCTATGAACAAGAGAAAGAGCCACCGTGGTGATACTTCACCAGCCCAAGCAGGTAATTTAAAGGGCAAAAATCCATCTTTGGTGATGCTTAATATAGAGCTCCTCCTTGTGGCAACATCTCTAACCTGGAGCTCATCCTTAGCCCACTCTTCCTAGCTTGACATATCTTTTAAACATAGGCTTGGGTGTTTTTTTGAGCTGAAAACTGATTCAGAACATTTTCCCCCACACACTCCCAAACTTCAGATATCTGAGTGTGATTTATCTTCTAAATATCTGTGCTCACATGGCAGGACAAGCTAGAGCAGAAAGCAGAGGCAAATCCTTTGATCTGCCCAGTGGTGGTGAGGATTCCTTCTGGATCAGAAACATTTTGGGATAAAGCAAGCCGTCAGTAGCTTGCTTTAAGTAGACATGAATTTCTCCTCTCTCCTGCAAAGCTTTACTTTAAGACCATTTCTCTTCTTCTAGTACCTGTCTCACCTCAAAGGATTATTGTCTCCAATGTGACCAGAGGTAGCTTTCATGTAATGTGGTCCGCAGAGTCTATGCAGACTTCTGCTTTTCAATTCTTGCTGCTTCCGTAAAAGCAGCTAATAGAGGAGACTAAAATTTAGTGCAGGAGCCTGACAGTCTCATGACTGGAAGCTGGTATCTTATATACCATTGAAATCAGGACAGAAATGTGTACGAAGGAAAGCACGGCAGTATACCAGAAGGTGAAGACTGGTAATTGAATTCAGAAATGATTTTTAAGCTAGATCGTACTATCCTTGAAGTTTTTGGTAGAGAACCATCCTCCGTTTCTAAGAAACATTGAAGCCAGTGTAGATCTTGGTGGATATCTAAGGCTAAGGATGATGATTCGTTAGCAGCTGGAAGGCAGTGTGAAAGACCATGGGCTGGAAATGGTTGAGGTGTTGGGTAATATAAATCAGTTTATTTAACTAGTGACTAAAATGATGCCAGTGGTATAAATCATGTCTTGAGAAGCCCTTCCGCTCCATTTCATGATCACTTTCAGTTTCTGCTGTAACAATACAAAAAAAAAAAAACCCACCAAGAAATGATCTAAAACATCTGAGATTGCCTTAATGTGATTCAGGAGATACAGCTTTGTGAGGAGAAGGCATCAGATTCATCTCATCTAAAAGGAGCCATTTGAAAGGTGCATGCCTAATCTCTGATAGCTATCTAGCCTTCACCTGAGGTTGGAGGGAGGATCTAGACACTGGAATAGTTTGCCATCTGCAGGGGCCAGTGTCCCTGGGACAGCTAGGTGAGATTAGGTGAGCAGTTCAGACACCTGAAAATAGCCATAGAGTGACATTTGGGATGCTCCAGAGCATCCAAGACACAGGCTGTCGGATATAAGACCTAAATGAGATTTTTGCCCTTCTTGAGAAGCATCCAAAGGTCAGAGAGGATAGCGTAGGATGCCAGATGCTTATGTTTAGGCATTTGCATCCCTGCCTGCTTTTCAGAGGGCTGGCTTTCTGTTGCTTTGAGTTGAGATGAACCCCAGGTAACCAGGCATGCCAGTGACTGTCTCACACTCATCCATGGACCACAGTCCATGAAGCCTGTGTCTAAATTATCATTTTCTTATTTTGCAGCTGTCCAGAAACTTAATGGGATGGTGCGGATAACAAATGTGAAATTCTCTCTGGGCTTTAGTAATACAAGCAGTGAGGAATTTCAAAACTTTGCACGGCTTTTTGTTGATGAAGTAAGTGGATAAGAAGGATGCAACCTGTTACTGGTCTCACTAAAAGCATGTGTATGATTTTCCCCTTAAAAGGTGTATGCCAGCTATGTGCTTCTTCACACACTTGAATGGTCTGAGTCCCACTGACTCTATGAGACTGTGTAGGCAGCATACTGCAGTGTTTTAGAGTGGGAAAAGGATTTGGTGAGTGTCTGATGCCTCTGTTTTCTCTGTTGCTCACATCTCATTATTATCTAGCTTATTTATTTCCTCCAGGGATGTTGTGAAATGTTAATGAATATTTGCAAAGTGCTGGCGATACCCTCGCCCTGCACAGTGGTATATTAGTGCACCGTATGTCTGTCGTTACCCTTTTGCATAGTACCTTAAAGGTGACATTTTTATAATCATCCCTTTCTGTAGGCCAATATCTAGAGAGGGAGTCTAATGCGGTTTCTTGGTAAGTCACCTCTGCCACCATTTCTAGTTAGGGGACAGGGTATGAAAGCGCACTGCAATATCAGCTTCTGCTTTAACACTCTCATAATTCTCAGGCATTGCCTTTGACAGTATTACTTTCCTAATTTCTTAGTGAATTTATCAGAAGTCTGTTCCTGCTGCACCTTTTGGTGTTTACACACATCTGTGGTTGGAAAAACACTGATTGTGTTGTGCTGCTTTATTGCCTTCTCTATTTCCTCTTAACTGTCTACTTTTTTAGAAGGATTAATAACTATGATGATAAATCCACTGCTGACAATTATTTGACTTTTTGGTTGCAGCAGAGCTCTCCCCAGACTCCCGCTATGTACAGAGTTATAGCCTGTCACTGAAGTACAGCTGTCTGTGGGGAACGCAAAGACAACAATTCGTGTTCAGTCAGAGTCCAGAAAATGAAAGATATTGTGGCCGGCATGAAATTAGAGAAAATTGTAAGGGAAATGTGTAATCTCTTTTGCTGTGCATAACACTTCCTTGGATATCAAATGACTTTCCCAGTGGTTGCTACTGGTTTGCACCCTTCTGGATGTGTTAGTGGAGCATAGCTTTCTCAGGGTTGCTTCTGCCCCAGGCAGTCACATTATAAAAACAGTCACAACAAGAAAGTGGCATGATTACGCAAAGTGAAAAGGGAACAATTCTCCATTGACCTCACTTTCATTCAAAATCACTCTGAACTAAATATTGCCAAAGATTTTTCTTGAATTTATTTGTTGTCACCATCTACAATTCAGAAAATGTATAAATCCTCACACTTATAATGTTCTTTGGTGTAGAGCTGCCCCAGTACGTAAAGCCTTGTGGTTAAATTGTCAGTACGGCAAATAGAAATACCGCCCTTGCAATACAGCGTACGTGAACTTGAGGTAGAAATCTTGATGTGACAAGATTTCACTGTCATGATGTGACAAACTTTCATTGTCATTTTCCAGGCTAGTTTCACCATGCTCCTCGCATTGCATCTGAAATACAACATTGCAAAGAGGGAGAGAGTATTTTACCCTTGGGTTTTGCTCAGCCTGTCTTTTGCAAGAGCCAAGAAGAATATCATGACAGCAAGGGCTTGTTCTCAAGAAAATGAACTGGAAAAACAAAGGGTTTAAAGTGAGAATGCATACTCTGATGTGCATTAAATTCCTGAGTGGGAGGGATCATTCAGGATTCTAGTGTCTTAAATATTGATTGAAAAGAAGTTTAAAACTAATAAACGGTATTGCCTTATTCCACAAGGTGACTCCCTCACTTGGAACTGGCACAGCCTTCATTTGATGTAGCTTAATGCACTTACAATAAATGTAATTAAAGCCACTGGAATGCGGAATGAATGTTAATACACGAATTAAGGCAGTCCCACTGTTCCTGCGGAAGTTCACCCCTTTTGTTAATTTGAGTTTATCCCTCTGTTGTGAGATCCTTAAAGTTGGCTTTGGTGGTGGCTGGGCAGATGTATGCTGTAGTACCTTTCTTTTGGTAGTGCTGGCAGAGCGGGTATCATGGGGGGTGGGCGCTCTGAGCAGAAAAATAGGTTTGATGCAGGTTATCATCTTATTGAATAATAAGATGTTCTCTTAAAATTAATGTCCCTTTTACTTACTTGTTTCCAGAATGCCAGTGCATTTCCTGCTCTGTTGGCCACGCAGGCATGTATGTACACGTAGGTGACCTGCGATAGCACTGATGAGCTGCTGACGTCTGGCCTGGGACCTGCTGATGGGCGGTCCCAGAAAACCACAGCCAGCCCTGTGGTGGAAGCCTGGCTGCATGAGTCTGGCGCTTTCCTCTCACTTAAAACGCTTGTCGACCCTTCCTATAACATTAAATCATTTTTAGTGGGGCTTCCACCTGGCCCTTAACTTTATGTCCCTCCTGGTTTTCCTTGCTTTAACAAGGGACATTCCCTTTTCTTGATGTCCCTGTTAGTTTTGTCTGTGCTTTCTCCCTTTCTTGTGGCTCTTCTTTCGGCATACATGTTTTTCCTGTTTTGGCTTTGCTAATGTTCTCTTTTGCATGCTGCAGGAATTGTAGGTACAATTATGGGTCCCAAAATATTTCATTTTTTGTAAGAAAACCTCAAGGATGCTATATCTTGAACTACTTATTTCTAAAAAGTCACTCGTCTCTTTTCCTCATTTTCTCGTCCCAGAGTTCTACTCACCTCATCAACCATTATTTTGATAACCTAGGGTGTGGTATGTATCGTGAAATCATGCAGCCTTCTGAATAAAGGGTTTTTTAGTGTCATCTAGTGGCTAGCTACAAGTAATGTGATTGTACTTTCGAAGATGCTTTTCAAGCTTTGAGTCATGCTTTGTAAGGGGAAATATGAATAAAGACAGAAACAAATAAACCAAACAAAAAGTTCCAAGCCCAAAGTAAAAAGAGGCAACAATAAAACCAAACATTCAGAAAAAAGATGAGAAAGGAATCCTGGTAAAAGTGAGGATGGGCTAGGAGGATGTTGCAGGTATATTTAATGCCCAGAAGTTTGGACAAAAGATTATGAAAGGTAGAAACTTAGGGCTGACCCACAACTTTTCAGTACATGGTTATGAAATGGCAGAAAGGGAGAGAATAGACCCAAGAACCCTGTGGCTGGCTGACATGGCAGATAGTGTGCCTGACAAGGACAAGCTGCAGTCTGCCCAGGCTTTCCTGGTACAGATACCTAGCTCTGCCTGTGTGCCTTGTGGGATGCTGCTGTGTTTGCTCTGTGGGACTTTTAGGAATCCCTTTCAAGGTGTAAGCATGGGGCTTTCTCTGTATGTGTTACCTTGTCACCATGTGCATGCAATGCACATCAGCTCTGACAGTGCAGCTCTTTTGCAAATTCCAGGCCTGCCTAGAGGCCTGGTGCAGCAGGGGGATAAGCAGATTTGGCACGTAGTTGTGCAAGAGCTGTAGTCTCCTGGGAAAACCCAGCGAAACATACAGGAGCTGTGTCTGTGGATGCAGTAGAAATGAGGCTGCTTCTTGTGTCACCTCTCACTGCTGGCCCTTGCCTTCTCTCTTCCTTTTAGCCAGGGCCCGGGCTCTCCCAGGTAGCGGTTTGCTGCCTGCACACCTGAGCACTACGCTGCTGACATGAGCTCTGCCTTAAACTCGCAGGTGAAATCCAGCCCTTCTTTTGCAGAAAATATCTAGAGCAAACGTGCAGAGGAAGAAGTTGTTGGAGATGACCGTAGCTCAGCACCCGCCTGCCTCCTTTATGACCAGGAAAGTTGAGCTGGGCAGGAAGTGGGTTATGTATCCTAAAAAGAGGGTCTAAAGCAGAGCAGGGTGCTGGAAAAGATGTGTTACTCCCCTAGACAGGGCAGCTACGTGCCAGCTCTCACTTGGGCCAAGTGCTACTCATCAGGCTCTTACAGTGCGGTTTGATCTGCTGCTCTGTGTCTGCCTCTCTTGGCGTACCCAGGGAAACTGGCAGTGATGGTAGGGCATGTGGAAATATGTTTTTCTTTTTTTTTCCTTCTATTTCCATCTGCCTGTGTCCCTCTTTGAAGCTAGTAGCTGTTATGTGCAAGAAGGTTGTGTGCAACCCAGGCTCTGAGCATTCAGGAAGAATGACAAAGATGGCATAGGATTTGTCTTTCTTGTCCTGCTAGGACTCACTCTCTTTCTGTGGACTGTCTCTTGCTGGGCTTTTACTGGGATCCCCTATGTGTAACTGTAATATCAATAGCTCAGAATAGCCTGTGCTACCTACTGATGAAGGTGTTTCATTCCAGCCATTCAACCTTGCAAGTTTTGTCCCACATTTTCTATTGTTGCACTTTGTAAGTGTGGAAGAATGTAAAAGACTTCCCAGACACATGTACATATGCTGGGGAACTTAATATGGGAAAGGTGTTAAGAAGCACAGGAGATCTGTTAGCATCTCCTGGAGAAAAGGAGAGAAGAAGATATTCACTTCTCATGGACAAATTCACAACGCTGCTGGGTAGTATCACACAGGCGTGCCATGGCATCTCGTCTGCAAGACTGGGCATGCAGGCAGATAGGGAGCCCAGTGCAGTCCTATAGGGACCCTTGTTTGGGCACTTAGAAGAAATGGACTGAGAGGAGCACGTGTGGATGTTTCTCAGCTTCTCCTTAGGGAGAGTTTCTCACAACTATGTCTATATTTCTGTGCAAAACTTCTTCCCCACACACTCTTCAAAGCTGAATTAATACTAGCCTTGCGTCTTGTCTTGGACTGGTCCTGTGAGCCAATGCCATTTGGCCTGTGTCTGTTCCTCCTGTGGCTGGTGCTGAGGCTGAAGATGAGGAGAAACGGTCGGTGCAGGAAATGTAAAAACTGTTGAATGTCCCCTCAGACTCTTGCATCTGCCTGGTGCCTTGCCCCATGAACTGGCCTCCCGTGGGAGGAGGAGATGCTCCTGCGTGTGGCTGCCCTCCAGAGATGGCCAGTCATGAAGGGAAAAGCTGCAGAAAAAGAAGCAGCTGAATATTCAGCTCCAGCCTGTTTAATCTCTTTTTGAGATGTCAGTGTCTCCATCTGAGCTGGATGGTGGTGAGGCTGACTAGTGTAGCTGGTACAAAGCCTAAAGCAAAGCTGTGTTTCTTCCAGTCGTGTAGAAAGCAGACCATCCTGCTTCCTGGTGTGATATAAGAGGCTGTTTCTGTGGGGTAGTGGTGACGAAAGCTCAGGGTGCTTTGAAAAAGCAGACTTTTCTTTCTTAGTCCATTAGTGAATTCCAAGGCTTCTGTGAACAGGCTGTGAATAGTAATTTTAGCAGTTTCTCTAGACTGCCCTAAGCTCAGCTATGGTTTAGTGCGCACTACTTTGAGGGCGACCACTTCTATTCAAAATAGTGCAGTCATTTCCTAGCCTGGCTCTTGGGCTCTCTGGGAGGACTATGAGCGCAGGGTGTATGTCTGGATGGCAGCTAGAATTTGCAGAAATAATTCGACGCTCCTCAGGGAAGACCTTAGTGAAATATTTCTGAACTCGAACTGAGGAGTGGGGAGAGTCTAGGCTTGATAGGAGGTTGGGATGTGTGGCAATGCTGGTGGCAAGAAACACTTGCCTTTCTGTTTTCTTTACCCTGGTCTTAGTACTTAAAAAGAGCTGGGTTTACACTTAGTGATAAGCAGAAGAATTTTGTGCATCAGCTCAGCTCTCATGAGAAATCACCTGTGAAGAAAGTCTGAGGGTGGTCTGCTGTAAGCTGTAAGATATGTCTGAGCTCCATGAATGATTATGGTAGATGTACACACATCCTGGAGTGCCAGGAGGCCTCTCCACTTCTATCGGCTGCACCTTCTTGTCTTAGCTTGCTCCCTCTCCTTTAGCAGACTTGCTGTTGCCAGAGGCTTTTGTGAGGACCTGTGCCAAATGATAGATGGAGTGGCTTAATCATGTTTCTTGTTTGATATTCACAGTCAAATATATATCAAATCCTTTGGTTGCTGTTGAGTGGAAATGTTGTTAAGAAGCAAAAAAGTCATTTTTCTGCTGCTGCCCTCCAGAGTAGGAAGCAGAGTTGTAATGCACAGTATTAACTTCTGGGCAGTATACAAAGCCTAAAATGTAATTGCTTCTACCTGTCCGTCTTCATGTACATTTTGTTTTTATCCCAGGTACGTAACTCTCTGCCCCCTGAGCTCCTTCTGAAAATGGATGCCGGTCTGATTAAAGTGTTGATAACTGGTATTACTAATGGGAGCACAGTGGTAAGTTTCAATTTACTGATTGCAGAAGACGTGGATATCTACTACATCATCACAGCTTTTCGCAATGCCTTTGAACACAGCCGCTATTTCATGGTTGACAAGAGCAGTCTCTCCATAAACGGTAAGGAGCAGCTTATATCACAACTGTCCTTCCGAACTAGAAGGATGATAAAGCCTGTTATTAGTCTGTATTTTTTTGAGATGAAAGTACCTGTGAAAGTGATGGATGAAGAGCCATTATCTTTCCTTTATTGCTTCTGCCCATTCACCCAATAACCTTTTTTTGGAGAACATCAAAAGATAAAATAAGAACTGTGGTATCCCTGATCCAAAAAGACAAAACCAACCATTCTTTTGGTCTATATCTAGGGATAGTTTTATAGAAAAGAAGATATGGAGAAATTTAACTGGAGGGTTTTATAAGCTACCAGTGAAAACAGGTCCTTTTACACAGACAGTCTAGCCCTGTCTAAAACCATTTTGAAACACATTTCCCTCTGCTTTGCACTGATAAATTTGCATCAGATTAAAAAAAAAAAAAAGGAAACAAACAAATGAATTCTTCTGCAGTGGCACTGTTTTCTTCACGCTGGGAGTTCAGATGAAAGTCCACAATTTACCAAGACCAGCACAATGGCTGATTGTACAATTTCTTCTTCCCTATAGATAATTTAAGATGGTAACAAGAAACATTAATCTCCTAACTAAGTGCTACTGAATCCTGTTTCACAAATTGATGTCACCTCTAGAAAAAATTTGCAAATTCTGTATCCTCAACATAAGTTTGTCCAAAGACTATCGTTAGAAGCTGTCAATTAAAATCTCGGGCAAAATGGCATCAAAGGCCTGTATTTAGTCTGTCCTCCACATTCTCTCTGCCTGTTACCCTTACAGCTGTGGCTCTAAAAAGGTTGCTGCTTTTGTTGGGGAATTATGTGGTATTTATGAGCCCTAATATCCAGCAATGTGTTGTTCCCTAAAAGCTAGCATCAGTCACATTGCAGCTGAGTAAAGCTGTACTCATTGTGAAACTCATTTGTGATACCTGGCCCTAAATGTAAGCATTACTCTGTCTGCATTTTTACTGCTTACTACAGGTAATGTGCTCTTTTTGAATCTCTGGAATGCACAGGTATGATCGCTCAATCTCCACAAGACTTCTGTCTTGCTGTTTTCAGCCGTGTGCTGATGCTTTCTCATTACTACCTGCACATTAATTAGTAAGATCATGACTATCTTGTGGTAGCACTTTGTACAGTGCCTGCCTGCCTCGAACCTGCACTAAAACAGATGGTTTGTTTCAGGGACAAGTCCCCATAGAGCTAGGTTGCCGTTTTCTCAGTCCCACCTATGGTGGTATGTTCGTATCTGCACAGTTATGACTGGCCTTGGGAGGAGAAAAGGAAGTTATGCATATTTTTCTTTTCAAAAATGAAAATTTTGGCTGGAGAATAATGAAGAAAGCAATTAGACTAAAACTTGGACCAGTTGTATGAGCCTCCTGTTTTTCAGACTGTTTCATTAAATCTGAGCATTTGTTAGCCATCTCCTCAGGTCTGTGGAATGGGGGACACAACTGAGGAACCTCTGGTTTTGTAAGTGTCCCCTTTGGCTGTTGATTGGTTTAGGGGTGTAGGAGTGGGGTGCCTACATTTAGATGAGCACCCAGTGAGCATCATTAGTGGGTGTTCCTGGAGGATTTTTGTCAGTGCCATGCAAGTAGTCCTCTAGGCTATGTGTCTACCATCTCGCCTTTTGTAGAGCCAGTAGCTACCTGACTTGTACGGTGCAGTTTCACAGCCAAAGTGTAATCCCACCATGATAAACTGATGATACCGTCATGCTCAAGTTTCAGAACCATCACGTTTTCATTTATATACTCTTCACCTTTCCCTTTTACTTCAATATACCCAACAGATTATGATGAGTGCACGAGGGAAGAAGATGACTGCTCCCCAGATGCATCATGTCATAACACACTTGGGTTTTATGAGTGCAGCTGCAATGAAGGATTTGCTGATGTGCACCCAGAAAAGCCTGGAAGAAACTGTGAAGGCAAAAAACTTTTTAATTATCTAAGGGCTGACTGAAATCTTAGTGATCTGATCTCTACTGGGTGGTTAGGTCACATGTGCCACAGGCTTTGAAATTTTACCAGGGATGAATTTGTTTTTTTGTATTCAGCCGCGTCTTAATGCGAAATGTCTTGCAACAGACTTTAAGAATTTCTCACTGTAATACTCCAATCTATTGTATGACTGTTTAATGGGATCTTTGTCATGTTCTTTTAACAGTTCTGTTTTCTTGTATTTGCTATTAAAAGTAGATAGGATTATCAGGAGTGTGAGTTATTTTCACTAGCAGTAGTAGAGGAGGCAGCAGAGATAATGGAGAAGGTAACAGAAAGCACGAGGTAGGTAGTTTTACTTCTGTGTTGTAGCAGAGATGAAATGTTGGGATGACAAAGCACTTTTTCATATCAGTCAATTCATCCAGCTCCCTCTGTCTTTCCTCAAATCATTTGTTAGCTGACTTATGATGAGTCTTCTAAGTTGTTTTAGATTTCTTCAGTAATTTGTATTGGTTTTGGAACCACAGTGATAAGGTACTTGTTGGCTGAAGTAACAAGGATTTGTAAACTGCTACCAACCATTCATTTTCTGTGTTTAAACAGGTATTTAGCATTTGATAATGAGCTTTTAAGAAAGTCAGCTCTGAAAGAGCTCAGTTTTGGTTTTCTTTTTCCCCCCATAGGTTATTTTCAAATCAGTAACTTCCCAATGCAGGGCATTCCCAAAAGCTAGAAAGAGGAGTTCCAGAAGGAATCTTTTTTTTTTTTTTTATATGCAGCTTGGGAAATAGATGTTATTTATATGTACACTCCAGTAAAAATGTTGTAAGAGAATTTTTGTACAGTGAGACACATCCTGTTTCACCTTGAAAGGAATTTATTATGTTGAATTTATTACACTGGTGCTCTCTAAATCAGCGGTGGATGAACATTAAGGCTGTTTCTAGTACTAAAGAGCCATGGGGAAACCCCAGAGCCTAGGCTGGAAGTGGGGTGTTCCACATCATACACATTAATATAAATCCCTGATTCCCTTTTTCCTGTTTGCCTTCTTCCTGGAAACATTAAAGATTCCTCCTAACACACATTTGTTCAACTCCCTCCTGCGTCTGTCAGGGCACACACATGCAGTATGGGCCTGCTGCATAAAGTTTGTCTTACACTTCCTCAAAAAACGAGTTTTTCAAAGTGTAAAGGGTTGTAGTTTCTCGGCACAAATCACTCACAAATGGCACCAGTTTTTTTTTAGCAAACTCTGCTCCTATTTAGAGCCCCAAACCAGAAAAATGCAGTCCTTCCCCCTTATTAACGAAGAAAGTCTGAAGTCTTGTTGAGTGCCTTACAACTGGAGATCTCTTGCAAGCACCGATCTTCCAGAAGCATATACCTGGTTTACCTGAGCACACAAATTACTGCAGCTCTCACGAAATGAAACTCTTCAACTTTTCTCACAGGCCCTTTATGTATTAAGAAAAAGCCATAGCTTTGGCACTAAACGAAGCTGGTTTAAAAAAAACAGAAGAAATTGGTTTACTGTCAGTAACTGTGAGTGTCCTCATAAGGGTTTGCTTTTATCATATTAAAACAACTTGAATTTGTAAATTACAACAATGCCTTTATTTTTGGTACTCTTCAGCATTTCCTGTCCACCAGGAGGCAACAGTGATGGAGAAGAAACCTGTACATAAAACAGTTTTACCTGTGCTATCTCTGCCGACCTCTACTCATGTTTCGTCCCCTGCTGCATTGGGCTCCTCTATTACGGGGCACAAAGCTCTGGACAACACCATCCTCTCCAGTGTGGTGCTGCCTCCTTTCACCACGGATCCAATGTCAGCTCCTGACTTTTCTCCTCAAACATCTCCTCTCCCCCTTGTTAAACCTACCAAGGAGGTTTCCGTTAAAGATGCAGTGAGAGTGTTCTGTGAAATTGAGAAGATAGTCCTTACCATCCAGAAGAGATTTTTACAGCAGGAATCTACCCCCGAATCCTCACTCTGCCTGGGGGAGCCTCTCTGCAACGTGAGCACCAGCAACCGCACTCATGTTGTACTGCAAGCAGGCTGGGGCGACTGCGGTATTGAAGTCGAGACAGTAAGTCCTCTGAGCCAGAGAGGAATGAGAAGAAGCCTCAGAGCATTTTTTTCTCTCTGTGGGGTGGAATGGCACCTCCTAAGCTAGGAATACAGCCTGTTAGTTGATGAAATTTTGTCCAAAAAAAAATTTCTTTGGACAAAGAAAAACCCTTCTTGCAAGCAGAAAGTTACCTCTCTGTGTGGGGGCAAGCAAGAAAGTAAAAGCAGTCTTTGGATTCAGGCAGCAAAATTCAGGAGTCTCTCTAAATTGAGAGTAACTTCCTATGCCTCTTTGAATTCCTTCTGCAGCTGTCAGAAGCTTCTCTTTTCTTAAGAGCAATTTCAATGTAATATTTAAACAAGTATCCCAATTACTATCGTACAGTAGTGGGGACCATGAGAGGGGGCTGTCTCTGTTAAAGGGAATATCATATCTTTAAAGTTTGGATCCCTAACCAAACACAAGGCTTAGGCACTGGCAAAGCACAGAAATTCCCTTGTGGAACCATTATCATTGCAGACTGTACTAGGAAGGCTGATGGATTTTCATTTTCTAGCGCTATAGCAACGAAGATACTAGAGATTTAATCTACTTGATTTTTTGCAGTCAGGAGAATGGAGAATTCCTAACTACTTGAAGCTGGTAAGCCTGTAGGTCTGCTATATCCTAGAAACACTGATGTTCACAGGTTTTGCTTTCTTCTTTCTGTGTTGCAGAATGTGACTAATACTGTAGTGAAAACAATACTTCGGAATGACGTTTCTGCTCAGGGAGTAATCCAGTACTTAAAAATTGCCAGTCCAATTCACTGTGTGTTTCAGAACAATCTCTTGGCTTCATCTGGATACACTGCGGAAGGGTGAGTAACAACTGTGCTTTGAAATGCTGTTGAGTTCAGTGCTGCTGCACGGGGAAAATCCCCAGCGGTTGTAGCTGTATTCAGTGACAATGCTTGCTATACTAAATAGCCTGCCAGCCTATGAATCCTGTGCTCAGAGGATCCCTCTTAAGTATTCTTCTGCTGCTGGATCCAACATGCCAACAGATCCAACAACTAAAAAGCTTGGCTGTTGCCTGGTTAAACTGTAGATGAAAGTAAACCTTTGGAAACTACTGGTGCAGGTTTAGTAGCCAGAACTCCTGACTTCTCTTTGCCTCCCTGGGTAATCACATGCAATTAGCAATAACAATATTTACCTGCTTTTGAAACACAACTACGGTTTATCTTTTCAACTAATTTAGGCATACAGACTGCTATGTGGGTGCTAGGCTTGGTGCAGAGGATGGCAATTTTTAACCTCCACAAATTCTTATTTGATTATCTTAGAAAAAACAAAAAGATATGTAATGCAAATATTTTTTTTGGAAAGGCTTCAACTTCCAGTAAGATGGAATGAAATCCTCTATTTATGGCTAGAGGATAGGCTGCAGCAGACTGTCCCCTGACAGTGAATGTTCTCCCTTTATACAACTGCACCTCCTCTCTCTTTGCTAGCACTATGCTTAAACTATCACCAAATCCACTTGCTGTTTCCTGAACCTCTCTAAATACTGTACTTTTCTTTATATCCCAGACAAAAAATTTGTCAGGCTTTGTATCTCCCTGCTCCATGAACTCTATATCGTTTCTTCACGTCCCTCATTTACTGTTCAGGCTTCTCACTTCTTGGCTTTTGTTCTCATTGTTTTGAACTTTAAAACAGCTCATAGTCTTGTTCCCTCTCACTTCGTACTTCCCCACCCGAAAACTTGGTATGTCTTCACCCTGTCCTCTTGAAAATCTTCCTAATGTCTTGGACTGCAGATAACTCCTCCCTATGATACATGAGAGGTGGAGAAACAGGCACTGTACTTACGACTTACAGAAACATAGTCAAATCTGTGGTCTTTTTTTAAAGAGGTTAATTGTTTTTTCAGAATTTACACCATTTTTGAGGATTTACATGGATCTGGACACTTCAGAACAGAAATGCAGTTGTTCATTGGAAACTCCCCAATACCTAAAAATTTCAGTGTCTCTGCCAGTGACGACGTACTGATTGAAGTGGGGATCCAGAGAGAGAACACCAAGCTCAAGGTGGTCCTCACTGACTGCTGGGCAACTCCAACTAATAATTCAGGGGATCCCCTCTCATTCACTTTTATCAACAACAGGTACAGCAAAGGCTACTTGCAAATAATAAGTGCCATACCTTGGATATGCCAGTGGGGCTGACTACTAATGTGTTATCTTTTAAATGCTTTTAATGCGTGTTTGCATTGTTCATATACACAGTCCTTTACCTTTCTGACAGGTCATGTCTTCTTTGAACAAGAAAGATGGGTATAAAAAGAAAATATTTTCAAAGGGAAATGTGGTAATTGTTTGAGTTTGTTTGTCTTACACATAGTTTTTAAAGAAATTGTACCTTTGATCTGAAGAAATAAGTGGTTTTGGCAGTTGGTAGTGTACATTTGAAACATGTGCTTTGCCCATTTCTCTGTGCTTCAGATATTAACAAGGGTCTGCATGATTGAAAGCCTAGGTTAAGTGATTCCTATATGGAATAACTTTCATCCAGAAACAATATTCAGCAGGCTCTGGTAAGAGAAGAGGTTTATCCCTGACCTCACTCCTATGTCTTGTTCCCTGGGGTCACCCTCCACCTTGAAATACAGGGTAGTCCTTTCTTTCGGTAAGAAAAGCTGTTCTTTCTAATGTGATATTTGGTTCACTTTCTGTGTTTGGTGAAGTCAAATTTAAAACCTTCTCCCTGTCGCTCTCTTCTTTCTTTCCATTCCTCCAGATAATTCTTGAATCTCCTATTCTAGTTGATTACTGCAAAATAAAGCAGCAACTAATCCCTTATCACAGCTCTGCCTATAGAGCATCTGGCTGTGACTTTCTAACAGGCTTTTCTTTCAGGCTTACAACCTGAGGTATCATGTGCTATTGCCAGAACACGCCCCTTCTGTAGACCTAGCTACCATGTATGGGTTTTTTTTCTTCTTTTTCAGCTGTCCCATCCCAAACACATATACCACACTGCTAGAGAATGGAAACTCAAGGAAAGCACAGTTTAAGCTGAAAATATTTTCCTTTGTCAACAATTCTGTGGTTTACCTACACTGCAAAGTTCGTATTTGTATGGAGACAGCAGAAAGTACTTGCAGGACGGTAAGGGCTTTGCGCCTGTGCTCCCATATTTTTCTGATATGCCATACGTAGCTCTTCCATGGAACTGAAGGATTCATGTTTCCAAACAGGCTATAAAATAGCCCTTGAAATTATCCCTCATCCTCTGCTGAGAGCAGGGAGGAGTGGGGAAGAACTATAGCCATATGGAAGTATCAGCCTTTTTTTTTTTGTCCCCCATCCTCTTAGTTAAAAGCATGGAGCTTACACAGAAATGAGTATCAAAGTTGGGGAACTGGAGAAGTGAACCTTTCACCTCTGCCTTAAGGGTATCTAGAAGGAAGTTGCAATGAGATAGGCCATTCAGAAATGTGTCAGTGATCCTCATAGTCCTCAGACAGACACATCATAACAATGGACAGCTACCCATGTATTGGCAGTTTCAGCAGAAAAGTCTAATTAAAATTATTTGAGATGTCTTTCTGTCCTTTTTTTCCCCCAGAAATTTACTTCTATAGGTCAGAGTTTAGTTGCCAGGATAGGAAACTCCATAACGTTTAAGTTTCTAGGGCTGTGAATCTGGTACAGTTAAACAGGGCTTTCTAAAGTGGTGAACCAAGCAATGTTCTGTCTTCCTAATTGTATTCCAAATCATTGCATTGTTTCTTTTTAGTTCTAAGTATGTGATACACTGTTTCATGTAAAAATGTGTTGCTACCGTATTAGTAAGAAAAATTGGCCTTCGTTGATGGCTTTTTTCCTTTCTACCATACACACAGGAATTCTCCCTTCCCTCTGACAACCTTCCTGTTTTTTTTTCTGTCAAGGATGTTTTCATTAACAATTTGGTGGTCCTCCATTGTTTTACACTTTCCTCTAGCTCTGAATAACTCGTTTTGAGCTCATTATAAAGCAAATTACCTTTTCCTAAAAGATTACAAATGGCTGGCCGAAGATACTTGTTTCCTTTCTCAAAACATAAAGCCTCCTCCAGAGGAAAAAAAGGAAGTAGGAACAGGAAATGTGACTGACAGATAGAAAGATGGCTCCAGGTTTCACAGCTGATTTTGCTTGTTAAAAATCTGTGCTTAAACAAACACCAGCTTATGCCCTCCTTCGGAGGACGTGGTTCCCTCCCCCAGCTGGCTGTGTGGCTGCAGTGTCCTGCACAGTCGAAGAGGGACATGGTGGTAGCAGCCAGGTGAGAGTCAGCAGGGATGGACAGGACAGGGACTGTGTGGGCAGGTATTGCAGCCTAAAGCAATCAAGCTATGGCTTTCCTAGGAGCTGCTGTTTTTGCTGTTGGAGCAGTCCTGTAACTGTATAAATTGGGACTTAGGTATATGGCCAGCTGAAGGCCTGGCTGTGATCCGAATTACAGGGGTTGGTGATGGTGTAATTCTGCTAGCTGGCTATAAAAGGAGGGAAGTGATCCTCCCCCTCTACTCAGCCCTGGGGAGGCCGTATCTGGAGTACTGTGTCCAGTTCTGGGCTCCCCAGGACAGGAGAGACACGGCACTGCTGGAGAGAGGCCAGCGGAGGGCTGCAAAGATGATGAGGGGACTGGAGCATCTCTCCTGTGAGGAAAGGCTGCGAGAGCTGGGCCTGTTCAGCCTGCAGAAGAGAAGATTGAGAGGAGATCTGATCAATGCGTACAAGTATCTGAAGGGAGAGTGTCAAGAGGATGGGGCCAGACTCTTCTCACTGCTGCCCAGCGACAGGACGAGAGGCAACGGGCACCAACTGAAACACAAGAAGCTCTGTCTGAACATGAGGAAAAACTTATTTCGTGTGAGAGTGGCTGAGCCCTGGCACAGGTTGCCCAGAGAGGCAGTGGAGTCTCCTTCGCTGGAGATATTCAAAACCGGCCTGGACGCGATCCTGGGCAATGTGCTCTAGAGGACCCTGCTTGAGCGAGGGGGTTGGACTAGATGATCTCCAGAGGTCCCTTCCAACCTTGGCCATTCTGTGATTCTGTGAAAAGAGAAGAAAATGAGACCTGGAGGTATGGTTGGGATTGACAACTGCAATTAACATGGCACAGCAGAAGTAATTGGCTAGACCCTCTTCTTTCAGGGATAATATTTATTTAGGGAAAAGGAATTATACTGTTCTTTCTCCTATGCAAAACTTACTCCTTATGAAAAATTATAGAATTCAGTATGTTAGACTGAGATAAAAACGTTATATGGAGAAGACAAGTACTATGCACATCTAGGGAGGATAAATTGACAATAACTTTTACAAAGAAAGGAGAAGATGCTGCCAGATGTGCAAAGATCAAGGGCAATTGGAGCAAAGACACACAGCGTATTTGGAAATCACCTCAGACAGCTGAGAAAGTGCCCAGGTACTGGTAACCCTCTGAACAACAAGAAGAGAGAGAGCTGGAGCCCCCAGAGCTAAGGGGGAAAGCAGAGAGGGAGGCAAGTCTCCATATTTAGGCCAAAGCAGTATCTGCAGGATTAGTTGAGAGCCTACTTGCATGTCCCTTGGCCCTGCTGGGATAAAGAGGCCTCCTCACAGGATCTGCACAGCAAGGACAGCTGCTGACTAGCTACTTGTGAGCAGGCACTTGGGGCAAGGGGATGAAGCCTAGTCTTCCCCACCTTCCCGCCTGCCTCTGGTAGCAGAGAGCAGGGGTTGCTCTGTGCTCGGCTCAGTCATTCCAAGGGCAAGAGAAGCAAGTACTGGCAAGCGGCTCTGAAACCACTGCTAACAGAGGGCCCTGTCATGGGCTATGATGGCAATGTGTCTTCCAGCCCTTGGCTGACTCATGTGAAGCCTGGGCTAGGGTATGGGGAAGGTGAATACTCCCCTAGCACTCTGCTCCTCCATCTGTCTGCTGCTTCGGGCAATACTGACTTGCTTCATGGCAGACTTGCTTCAGTTCTTTGCCCACAAAATTGAGACTTAACTTCCTTTATTATTTCTTCTCACCTAGTCTTTTAATTCCTTGTTTTCTTGGGTGGAGAAGTGTAAGATACTCTTAAGTTTAGAGCAGAAAAAACAGATATAGTGGAGAGGAGAAATGGAAAAGAAATATGATTTTGAGTAGGAAGAAGAAAGGCATGCCAGTACTATCAGGCAGAGCCATGTGTGCAGAAGAGTACAGTCACTCCATGGCCAGGTGGAACCAAAAAATAATTGACATTAGGGACCAGCTATGTAACCGTATTCCCTAGTTGTGCATCTGCTTAGTTGGGAAAGCTACTCGGGGGTAGGCCAAAGTCACAGTTATATGGCTATCTTATTGGGGCCTGATCTGGCTTAAGGCACTGTTGCTGACAATGCCTTGTATCAACATAGCTAGGCTGGTGACACTGGTGAAACAGTCTTGTGTAGACAAGCTGTTAAGACACCCTTACACTTCCCTGCTTTCTTTTGCTGCTTATGATATGATACTGCAGCTTCTCTGTTTTACATGCACCTCCAGGAGCGCCACAGTATCTTAAGAATTGCAACCTAAAAGAGTAAGAAACAAACCAAATGGTGCTACTGAGAAAGCGTACAGAAGATGACAGTGTGTTGCGTATTCTGCAAACGTTGCTCACAGAAAGCTGAAGTGGCTAGTTTATCCTTAATATTGCACAGGGCAGGGCTTCCCAAGCTAGTAGTTCACAGAGTAGTAGTAGATAACATTTGACTTCAGATAGTCATTGAAAGGCTTTGTATTATTAATTAGTCAGCCATATGATTTATTGGAGTTTGAATTGATTGTTACAGAGATGTCGTGGGGTTCGATCCCTGAAAACTGGTGAAACTGTTGCTACCCACAGGACGTCCTGGGGACCCCTATGTAAATCTGCTGGTGAGTTAACAACAGATGTTTGGTGATACAGAGTAACCAACATTTCAAGGTTCTTTTTCGCTGGCAAAGAAACCTGAAAAACTGTGATACAAAAACCTCTGCATTTTCTTCTGAGGAGCAGGGGCCCTTACTGAAGCCATGTGGCAATGTGGAAAAGTCTTTGCCCTCCTTGATGAAGCGACTATCAGATAAGGGACTGGGGAGAGGAAGAGGAAGAAAATATTTCACGTAGCTATTTGCACAGGTGGATAAGTACAACAGCCACCAAATCAAACCTTTATTACAGTTACCCAAAGTCACTGGAATCTTTTAGATTGCAATTAGTTTTTACAGCATTTACTTTACACATCCTTACACCACAGTTATATTGAGCTCTGAAGACCAAAATTAGAGGAGATAAGAGACTGCATTGCCATGTTTCCCGACACTGACTTTATTAATGCTGCGAGGGAAGGTGGCAGAGCCGAGCTGGTACAGAGCACTTTGGCTAATCTGGTGGAGCAGCACAATACGGGAGCGAACACCAGCACCGTGTACTTAGTGCAAGGTCCAATTTGTACTGCTTTATACGTCTTCTGCTTTTAGCCTTGAGTGATATTTTCAAGGGCAACTGCTGCTTCTAACATTTTGAATCATTTGGCCCCCTCCAGCCATTTGCACTCTTATTTATTATTGATGTAAAACACAGATTAAGAGTACATGGCAACATGTGTATCCCAACACATAGGCTGCTTGAGATGACATGTGGTGTCCTATTCCCTCCTTCCCACAGTGTCTCAATGCTATTCCAGGAAAGTACAGGTCTCCTGTAGCTCCTATGCCATGTCTGCCAGCCCTATACAGACATCGTAGACCCTTCGGCTTTTCAGGTGGCACTAGATGCCAATGCTCAGGCTACAAAGTTGAGCCTTGGTGACTACTTCAGCGTAAGTCACTTAACTGGCTCCTCTAACCAGTCTGGCTGGATCTCTGCTGACTTGGAAGCTTAGACACACACACACATGGAGAGACCCCCACGTAGGCTCCTGAATGTGACTGTGTTGATCTATGAGCTGAATCTTTCACTAAATGCCTTGTATTTAAAGAAGCATTACTTATGAGATGAAAGCAAATTAAGTGTTTTTAATAATCATGGAGGAATGGGAGCAGGATTAAGACAGAAGAATGCTCCACCTCTATAAACCTGGGTTGTTCTGAAAGCAGAGCAGCATTTCAAAAAGTTGCATATCCTTATCTTTTGTTTAATTCCTATTTTAACGGCAAATTGTAGTGGGAAACTCCAAACACACATCATACATAAGTCTGCAGGGATTCTATACTTTTACATGAAGAGATGGCTTGGACTGTGGATCACAGACATTTCCATGAGGAGCACCCTCCCAAAAAGGCTGGATCAAGTCTATATTACAGCTCTATGCTTTGACAAGTAGACTGGCTAATTAGTAGGAAAAGGTTTTACTGCTTGGCTGCCTCCTTATCCCAGGAACAGATTTAGGAATTTCAAAGCTGTGTCTTTCACCTCTTCTTTTTTTAGCATCTGATGCAAAGAGAGAGAAGGAGGCTGGGCTAGGAGTTGGATACATCATCCTTATTGTCATTGCTGCATTTGTTTTCGTGCTGGGAGTTGCGGGCCTTTTCTTTTTCCGGTACCAGCAAAAGACAGGAGGATACAATTTCAGAATCAAGTCTGACAACTTCAGCTACCAAGTGTTCTACGATTAGCTATGTTCAAGTTACCAGATGTAAGTACTGAATCATGATCAGTTACTTTTCTAACTGCTTAGCTCTTCCTGAATTGGTTAAATACTTGTAAATGAGCTTTTTGTAGTTAGGGGTATATGTATATCTATATCCTGTTTATTAAAGGGGAAGACTGTAGAAGCAAGCCTGAAATTCCTACCGTTCTTGCTGGTTTTCAAAGGCTGCAAACTATGGAGGAAGAGGATAGCCTTCTTTTCCTTCATGGCTTCAGTCTCAGTTATAGTAAATGACGTCACTTTTGGAGAGTGTCTATAACCATCTCCAAAAAAAGTATATCACTTTTGGTTTTACATCATGGATTGGCATAGTCGGGTAGAGAAACTTTACCACTCTCTTTATAAGCACGGTCCTTTTTGTCTGGGAGTTTATTTCAGAAGTTACCCCTTTCTGCAAAAGCTTGGGTTTATATTTTTACAGAAAATAGGGACATGTTAAACATAAGAGCTGGAAACGTTGATAATACATAAGCAGTGCTTACATGAGCCTGCAGAGAGTCTGAAAAGATAGCTCTGAGGAGTGTTAACCACAACAACAAATTCTACCTCTGCAACTTTGGAATTTGACACTTTTCCAGAATGCCATAGGATTCAGCATTTTTGCTGTAAAACGAGTGCATCGAACTGCTCACCACAGTTTGTATGTTTGTGCCTTTAAGAGCAGGAGAGATAGGTGGGAAAGCTGGCTTGCTAAAATGTAATGCACAACTGAAGGACATTTACTACACATCTGATCCCATTCTGTTCCTGCGTGCTTGCTTATTTGACATTATCATGTCAGTGAGTAATTCTTTCCTGACTGAGGCCTCATACTTGACAATGCAGCTAGCTTGACCACAGTAGATTCACTAGACTCATTGTATGGTATTCCCAGATAACTTATCTTGCTTTACTAATTACAGGAGCTCTTAACATACCTCACAGAGGAAGGACGGGGAAGGCTGTATCCCAGCTTGTAAAGTCTTGAGTAGTCACGAAGAGGTCTATTCCCCTGGTCCTATATTACAAAGATCACCCTTTGTAGTGATCTATGGGCAGCTTCAGAGAGATCTCTGAAGGTGAGGGCAGGCAGTGCTGCCTATCTGAAGCCTATGGGGAAGGTACTTGGGGCTTCTTGGTACAGCCCCAGCAGCTGTACAGTCCCTTTGGAGATACGGGTCCCCCTGGGGAGTTATAGTCTGGCATAAACGGCATATCTATGTTCCTTACTTTAAAACCTGTCTATAAAACCTCTGAGTCTCACCACAGGGAGAAGAGAGGCTTGCCTTCATTCATCATCCTGCTCTTGTAATTCCTCCTCTTGGTGGTCATGAGTGATTGCAACACTTGAAATTAATGTCAGTTCTGGAGTTGTGCAAGGAGGTTGTGGCATAAAGGATATTGTCAGGCTCATAACACTTATATATAATCAGCATGTTGGAGTCTCAGCTAATGGATCCTTTTAGATTCTGGAACAAATCAGTGAAAGTAGTTGATGACGTCTCCCAGTCATGATTTATTTCACTTTTACTTTTTCTAGATGGACTATGTCTCATCGCATAGAGAACAGCAGCTTGTCTTCACCTAGCTTTTGGCTTTTATTATTCTTCATGATGCTGATCACAGCTGGTTGCAACCCTGACTCTTCCAAGTTAATGTCAGATATAAAAAGGATTCTGTATCTCTCTAATTTTTCTATCAGTCTGGCTTTTCCTTGGCGTCCTAAGAAATATTTGTGATTGCAGCTCTAGACTGAAGTGAATTTGTTTGGCAATTTTTCCATGGAAAAAATAAAAGGGAAAAAGAAAAGACTTCATGGTTCTCTAGTCATGTTCCACCGTCTGGCTCTCCCACTGTGTCATGTTGCAATGTGCCCTTCTTGTATCACTTGTGCTGTGACAACTGACAAGCTTGATGTTTCTATAAATACTCCAGGAAGTAAATCAGCAAAGCGTTGGAGAGAGCTCCTTTTCAATTTGCTATTCACCTGTTTACTTAGGGCGAGGTTGAAGCCCTGAGCTGCAGTGATGCTGAAGACTTAGCTGTACAACGCCTTAAGTATACAGAAGCTGAAGAACAAGCAATAGACTTGCCAGCAAATAAAGAACAGACACCATGAATCTGTGGCTTAACCTGCCTCAAGTGTTCTTCAGCATGAGTTTTGAGATTTGACTGTGAAGTTTCTAATCAATAAGGGCTTAGTGGAAAGAGAGAGAGAAAAAAAAGCTTTTTCTGCTACTGGGAGACCATATTTTTCCAGATAACTATTGGTAACTATTTAGTTTGTTGAGATGGGCCAGAATGACTGTGCAATCGAGCTCCAGAGTGTATTGCCCATTGAAGCGAGGGCACTCAAATTGCCCTCAAATTGCACTCAAATTTGAGCTGTATTTTGATTGACTGGAAGAACCCACTGTTAGTGTAGCAGTAAGGGTTTAGTTTACATGCTCCATTGGATACAGCAACAATCTATTTGTTCAGCTGGATAAACTGGAACAAAAAGCCGTGTAATTTCCTCCAATAGTCCCCTTTTCCTGGCAGCTTTACTTTACAACTACTGTAACACTATTTTCCCTTTATAAAAAAGTTTTACAGTGGTTTTTTTTCTTCCTTTTTTGTTCCTGCTCAGCCGTTCACACTTCAGCTGTGTCCTAGACTGGCCACTTAAGTCCCCCTCTGCCACGACCCATTAATAGAAATGATGATAGGAATTTAATTGCAATATATGTTTCTAATAGCAAGGGAAGCTGCTCCTCTGTGTTTCAGAGGGAAAGGCCTAGATCATCACTTTGTGAAGGGGAAGAAAGTTCGTGCTCAGAGTAAGTAAGCAGGGTGCTGCATGGTCTTGCAGAAGTTGACCTTAGCCATGGCATTCCAAACCTATGGGTGCTGCCAGATTTGTGCTGCAAGACACCTGCAAAGGGCCACGGAGCTGGCAAAGGTCTGCTATTGCTGTGACTCTTAGACCAGTCTTTAACACAAGCAGCTCCTGCAGGACTGCTCCCAGGGATGTTCTTCTCTCTTCCTGTGCCCGAAACCTCCACTTTAGTGAGTGTTTTGGAAGATGGAGAGGAAAGTCTGCAGGTTCTGACACCTACATGCTCTCTTCCTATACAGTGGTTTAGTTTGCTATGTCTGGGTCAAATATAACATGGTAATTTACAGTGAAGAAGCTCATCTCACTATAATAGACATCATTATAAACAACTGTTCAGTGGAAATTAGCTATAAGCCTGAACTCACAAATACTTTTTGGAGCCATAGCATTTAGGTGCTGATTTATCAGTATGGAGTGGTAGTCTGGGAAATCTGTCTTTTTTATCTGCTTAATCTAATTTCTGTTAGGTACTCAGATTACTGGTTAAGGGACTTGGCCTACATTTTGCAAATGATCAGACTAATTAATCTTAGCGGTTATATATGCCTTTAAAATCCATAAATAAATTTCTGAATAATCATTTGTATTCTACTTTTGTTTTGAGTGGCTCTATAAGGAGAAATCTTTGTGACTTGTGTTTTCCTTGCTAAAATGTCAGCTCCCAGATCCTGATATAAACATCCATTTTGTTACAATTCATTAATGAAGCTACAATTTATTAATTTTTATAAACTTAAAGTTTGCTTAACATAACCATAAACTTTTTATTTGGTAGGAGTGTCTTCACTTTTGCTCAGTTTGCTCTTGAATATACAGTGTATTAGCCTTCCGTACACAGTGAAAGGATAAACTATTTTACCATAATATTTTTCTAGTTTGTAGTACTTACAGTCTTCAACTTATTGAAAGTGACAGGACTAGAGCTTTGCCTGTTGATTTCAGTGGAACTATGTCATTTACAAAAGCTGAGCATTAGTCCTCAGATTTAAATGCTCAGATTTAAAATGCAGTAGCTTGCATGTGATGCTTTGCATGCTCAGCAGAAACTGCTATTGTGAATATCAGAGTTTGTGTAGCTCAGTTTTGGTGTCTTAATAAAAGCACTCCCTAAGCTTATTGTTGGCTTTTGTACTGTTATTTTTCCCTTTTATGATTTAGTCACAGGTATTAATATGTGTGTCTTGTGGATGTGACAGCTTCTGAAGAACTGTTCAAGTATCAGTATAATGTTCAAGTATCAGTATAGCGCTCAAAACGCAGTGCATGACCTTATCCAAATGCTGATGGACTGCAATTATGACTGACTATGTATGCACACTTACTAAGAGTCTCTTCTTCAAAACACCAGACGAGCATATTATTGGTTTCATGTTTTACATCTAAAACAACCGAAAAAGCATGCAAGATTTCTAGCCTGGTAACAGAATTTCAGTAAGGTGGTGATCCCATCTGAAACTAGCGTGACACCAGCCTCCCTGAGCATTTGATTTGTCCAGTTTTGAGGGCTGCTCCAAAGGCAGCATATTCAGAGCTCCCTCAATGAAGCTTTTCCTAAGGGTGTTAGTGGACTACTTGTCCTGATCTGAATGTGAAAATCAGGGAAGGATGTCAGCACTTGGTCCAACTATTTCCTTTCTCATCCCTGCACAAGTGTTCCACAACTGCCACCTCCTCTTTGTTCATCATTTTTTCCCCTCTTCGCTATGCTTCAGTGGCTAGCAGTCACCCTCCTCTCAGAGCCGTGTTCCCATGTGTCTCCTTTTCACGCTGAAGCGTAGAACAGGTTGTTCATTTGAGATATCACGCATAGGGAGCAGTAGGGTCCCTCTGTCCCTACTGATTTCACCCTATCTGCTGCTCGGACAAAACTTGATGGCTTTGAAGGGTTCCTTTTAGACTGCTGTAGTCGGTTGCCCACATAAGCGAACAGGCACTCTGTAGCCAAGCACATAACTAGGTGTCCAAGAAGAGATCTTCCAGAGGAGTAGCACTGACTGCTTCCTCTCCACAGTCCCATGTTGCCCACCTTTTGTTCTGTGAATAATGTGCTGGCTCTGTATAATTATTTGTGACAATGACTGAAAAAAGAGTAAAAATAAAATCCGAAGATTTAGCTTTGACCTATTACATTGTTTCCCAAAAGCACTTAAGAGCAGTGGTATGTGTGCCTAATGTTCCCATTGTTCACTGAGAAAACCACACTGCTGACACCTGATGCAGGAACACTCATATTATGCCTTTCTCGCCTATTCTAACATTGCCAAGCTCCGATCCCACTGGGGCTGGGAAAAAAAGCTGAGATACGAAAATGTTCTCATCCATTAAAATATGAAAGAGCTAGCTTCTTAATGCTGGTTTGGAAAGTTTTATTGTAGGCTGCGGAAGGAAACAAGTTAGACAAACTGAAAACATTTAATTGCAGTTGATCTAAAACCACAATGTTAGCTACATTCGGACAGAAAGCCTAGAGCACAGAGCCACCTAATGGCTTTGTGGAAATAACAACTGTAAGGAGTGCAAAACTATACTAATTTTATCAACGTAGCTTTGTGTGTGCTTGTGTGTGTTGTTACACCAAATTCTGCATATTGAGGAATACTGCAATTATACAGTGCAGAGAACTTGATATGATCCCACTCCTTTCTCTTTTTCTTCTCCTTTCCCTTCAGAAAAGGTACTAGTAGAAATGCTTGTTTCTGACGCAAGTTTCACACATATAAAAATATTTGATATCTTCTGGAAAAGCATAAGTATTTGTAGGCACAGATGAAGTAATAAGCTTTTATTTAAAGAGAGATTTCCCCTTTGCTTGTTTTACTATGTGAATACTCCATTTTAAAGAAAAATGACATTTATTTTCCATTATCTTTCTGTTTAATCCTTCAAAGAACACTAGCTCTTGACAATTGCTTTTCTTTGACAGTTTTGTGTCTGCTCTTGCTACAAATGACCCTGGAGAGGATCAGAATTGAGAGATAGCGAGATGAGAAAATAGTTCATTGATGGTGCAGAGAATGTTTGGCACTTTGCTATGAAAGCTATATATAAACATTGAGGAATGTTGGAGTACTCCAGGAATGGTGCCATTATGGAGCTACTTTTGACTGATATTTGGAAGTTGATCAGGAATCATGCAGCAGGCTAGGGGGTAGCTGTATTCTCAATAGGCTAACCCTAGTCCATCCCAAAGTACCAAGAAATCTCGCTCCAGAACAGTAGTGGTGACTTCTGACTTTCAAGAAGAAATTGTCCAGACTTAGGCAGGGCTGCACAAAGTTCTCCTCTTTCTGACAGAGATGGCTGGGTAAAATTGCTCTTTCCAGTAAATAATATCCTTGGGAATGTGCTGGCAGCAAGTGATATTGACAGGGTGGGTTCTTCATGGCTTATGTTCAGTAATGCTTAAACTCTTCAAATCCGCTCAGGAAATGTCTGGCCTTGCCTCTTATACTGCCCAGAGCTTTGATGTGAAATGCTGGCCTCAAACAATGCTCCCATTTATTAGCTGCCTTTGACACCTGGCAATTTGAAAGGATGAAGGAAGTGCTTCACCTCAATATTTTCAACAAATATGACTATTATTAGTACGTGTGGATGGAAGGGTCTTGTGTTTGTTCTAGTGCCAGCCTTAAGAGACTCATTACTGAATGTTATATATGAATAGCTTTCTTATGCTTAGTCTACCATATTTAATTCTGCGCTATATCGTGCCTTATCAGTAAGATCATAATGTCTACCATGTTACTCAACAAAGAATATGGGAAAATGTGGCTGAACTGGAATTTGGAATGGGATATTTACTGAATCCATCTTTAATTTTTACAGAGAGCTGCTTTGGCAGAGCACAGGACCAAACCAAACCCCACCGCTCTTATCCAGGTCAGTAGGGCAAAAGCCAGGAGTAACAGCTGAACAAGATGCAATTGGTTTGTGGAGCTATTTTGTTTATGTCCCAGAAGGATTTTCAGCCTATGGGTCGCTTGAGACTGCATTATGCAGTTCATTTGAAAAGCAGCTGACTTCTCAGAGGATATCTAAATACTGCTAGCTGCCTATTTCATGAGTTTATTGGCATCGATTCAACTCCCTGTTCTCCTCCTTTTCACTTGTTTGGCCATAGCTGTGACATCTTATTCTTTAACAGGAGGAAGGCATGTCTGTTGCCTTCCACGTGTGCCAGAAGCACCACCTTGAAAAGTTCTGTCTTTCACCTGAAAATAACTTCTAACTCTCACTTAACTTTTATCAAACAAGCGAGTGTGCCCGGGCTGTCCAAGGTGTGATCCTTGTCCTGTGTTCTCGGCTTCTGTTATAAGGTGGTACTGCTCCT